TTATTAAATCGATAAAATACGATTGAGAATGATACAATACCTATCGATAAAACAAAAATACTAAATACTAAATATTCTTGATAAATATGCGTGGTTTGTGGAAAATAAAAATTCAAGTAATTTATTAAAATAATGAGAGTATGATGGCTTAGCTATCCCGCTATAACTGATATAGGTACCCATAAACAATATAAATAACTCATTACATATTTGTTACATTTTTTATAAATATTTTTATAAATTTAAAATTATTTGCTTATGGCTATTTTTTCAAGAATATTTTTATTACTCATTTTATTTATATATACCTACATTATTGAATTCTTCGATAGTCAAATGAATTACATGCCAACAATACACATATTAAATTCGTTCTCTATCGTATTGGTTTTTTTGAGTTAGTGGTGGGTGTAAGTTCTTTGTTAGTCTTAATTTAAGTGATCTCGATCATTCGACCAAAAAGGTATAACGTTCTCAATCGTTCTATATCCTATTAGGTAAGTGTTTGGTATGTTATCGACTGTGAAAGTAGTATTCATAAATTTATAATTTACTATATTGTATATTTATTCACCGGAAAATATATCATTAATACTACAGTTCTGAAAAGGGTAACATTGCATAACAATTTTTTGTGGTAACATAATAAATAATTCAGATTTTTTACAAAATTACATGGCACAAATCATTATGTCATAGCAGGTAGCTATTTTAGTTATTTATTACCATGCGTTATAATAATTTAATATGTAGCTACCTACTAAAACGGTATTCTATTTATTAACATAAAATCTAATTAAAATAATTATTTACCAATTTATTTAATTTTTTTTCCAAACGTTAAAAAAATAACCTCAATTGGAGAAGCAGTTTTTGGGAACGATGGGTAATCACAATTTTATTATAAAATGTATTAAAAATAGTGCATACAAACTTATACGCTATTGAAATTTAAAAAATGTATTCATGGTTCATATTTAAACCGAGTTAGTCAATATGTATTTTGCATTATAATAGTATAAACTGATGTAATGTTCAATTTAACAACCGATGAAAACAATACTTTGTCAGCAAAGTGTATCAGATACTTTCTCCAATTCGTTGTGATCAAAAATACTTGTTTTCTGCTTATATAGTTCAGTTACACTTGTCAAGTTTCTGCATCCAACATAAATTTAATTAAAATTAATAAATAAACATCTACAAAAACCGAACCGAATTCAGACAGTGGGTTTGGGTACTTCGGTACCCATTTCACTTACCTCATCTCGATCCAGGATTAAAGACAAGTGTATTTGTTTATATTATTTTATTATTCTAACTTTAAACGCAAATGATAAATCATCACATTATTCACATTCCAAAAACATTAATTTTAAAATGGATTTCTAATCGAATTTGTTTAATATTTTCGTCTGATAAAAATAGTTTAATACTAGGTATAGAAGGTACTTTTTCAAAAAACAGTTAACTCTTGCTGTATTGAAACACAAAGAGAACAGAAAAAAGTTAGAGATATCGAGTTTTATTGAAATCGTAATATTATTTCAAGGCGATTTCAATGGAGTTGGTTATTTAAAAACAATCGATATATCGACGTTCGTCAAAGTAAGAATCTTCTGTACCTACCAAACACTGATTAAATTAAATTGCTGATCTATAGATAGATGCACATAAACCTTTTTCACTGTTCAAAATTATGTACACAAAACAATAAAAGAAAATAAATCGTTATACAAGTTAGTCTGGCAAGACTAATTAAATATTGCATGCATCAATTACTTTACTTTTGATTTACTTATGAAAATCATTTTTACATATCTTTTAAACTTACTAATACTTAAATACTTATTATTTTATTTCACATAATATATCGTAAATAGCCTATGAATTATACAGTTTTCAAAATAAAAGCTGTTATATTGTAACTAGCAACAACAATAATATAATTCAGAATTATAAAGTACCATCTTGAACTTTATGAAAAAATGTTGTTATGTTATGCGCATACATCATATACGTAAATATGTAATATGTAAATAATAATTTTTCTTCGGGACTGTTCAAAATATGTAAGACGTACTTAAGTATAAAGTAATGTAATGTGACATATAATTTCATACCTCATAGGTATAACCATATAAACAGTGATGGACTTGGGAAATAAAATAAAATAGATTAGTATGACACAAAAAAAAATTGTGTTCCAAGCTAATTAATATATAGATACCTAATATAATCATAGGAGGCTTCAACCCTTTCATTACACTCACAAATATAATTATTACTACAAACAAACAAACATTTAATAACTTATTATACCTACTTACTTATAATTTTAAAGTTTCAGTCATAATCGAGTGTGTAGATAGTACACTTTTTCAGGTAATCGAGGTAATAGTGGTGTTATTTTTAAATTTATCAATAATCGAGTATAGTTTAAACATTTCAATTATTATTTTTTATTTATCGTATGGCTAAAATGTTAGTTTAGTTAGTTATTTGTAAGCCTATATGTGTGTATATAGGCATTGGTCTAATATGCCGCCTACATACTTACTATCGGTCCGATATCCTACTCATTGATCTACAAGCTAGGTACAGTATTCGTAACAGAAAAAAAATAAATTGTATTTTAATAATACTTTATTTTCATAATTATCTTTCCTTGGAAGAAGTCATTAAGTTGTAATTCGTACTTTTTATGTTATAAAACCATCCTTCATGTCATAAGAATTTGTGGAATACAGTATAGTTCGATTGTTTGGGTGAGGTATCACCATTGATTCTCTTTAATTTGTCTCAGTAATAATGGGGACACACTGTTTACTTTTATTTCATATCGATTTTTCAGTAGCATCTTATAATGGCATTCTATGGCTTGGGTATTGGCATTTGCTGTATACGGGTCGATAAACAATTTTTGATGATTCACAGTTTTTTTTTTTTTTAATTTTAAGCTTCGGCAACTGAGGCCATTAGCTGTAGGTTGTGGTACTGTAGGGTTTTTGGGACTGTTGGGTTATTGTAGGGTTATGGAACACGTGTGTGTTTGTTTGGCAGAATTTCTAATGGGCACCCGTAGGTTTCTGCCATACCCGGTTGGGGGATGGCGGCCTCTCTCTCCAGACACCGTCGTGACTGCCCGGAGAGAAGTGTCACCCGTGACCGAGATTCGAACCGGCGACGGTGCGCGTTGCGACCGACGCGTTATCCACTCGGCCACTCCGTCCCCCGATTCACAGTTTTGTATCCTTCGTTATTTAATGACTAATAAGCTTTCCATTCATCACTATGGATTATAGGTCCTGATTCTATTTCGATTTTAATTATAAGAAGTAAGGTTTGTCACGTCTTCCAACAATAAATAAAAGTTGTTTCTAGAATATCGTATTTTTACACCAAAGTGGGTAGTTAAAGTAAAATATTTGAAAATTTACTTTCTCTTACCTCCAATTTAAACACCGCATATAAATTAATTTTATTTGCTTTTTATAGTATATTATAGTAAGTTTTTTAAAGTATAAATTCATAATTTTGACCCATACAGATACATGAACATTTTTTTAAATTTACATTTCACAAAACCTTTAATAGAAGGATTCTTCATTCTATGAATCAAATCTTTTTCTTACCCCTTATAATTTATTTCATCACATTCACTTATTATACAATAAAATATATTGTGCACCTATCAAATAGTGCATAAAATGTTCAAAATTCAAAAGAAACAAAACTTTTACAAAATAATCAAACTAGGCACTCAATATGACAGTTTTTAACACGCCATCCATTGTAACAGCGAAATGATTTTAATTATAAATATAACCCAGCCATACTAATATTTACATCAACCACACATACATTTCCAGTTGTGCACGAGTATACGTACTTAAATCTAATATAATATAATTTAACAAATTAAAAATGTATAAAAAATACTTTTTGGTTTTCAAATAGGTAGGTGCATATTTATAAATAATTATTTTAGAAAAAGGTACACTTCTAATTAATTATATAAAGCTACAATTTTTTAATAATACACAAAATTATAAATAAGATATATTATACCTAGTTTATAACTGTTAAATATTTATATTTTTATAAAAACAATGTATTTAAAGACTGAAAAACAAATTCTTCTGAAATATAATTTTGAACGATTTAAGGAAAATTTATAAATGTACCTATATAAACCGTATACAATTGTGTGGATATTAAATTATTTAAAAATGTTGTTTTCAGTAACAACCTACTGAATAGCTATCATTTGTAAAAAATATAATAAGCATAAGCATTCTCAGACTAGTAATTTATACTTTCAAACATTGAATTTCTTATCAACTGATAGAATAATTAATTATACCTAACATTTCCAATAATTTAATTTAATTTCATCACTAAAAAAAAAAAATAAGCTGATATAATAATTTTACACAGCCTTGTTTTTCGAATGCTTTGATCATTTTTTTTTAAATAATAAAGCTACACTAATATCATCTTTCCTGCTCTTAGTTAAGCGAAATTAAACAAGTTCCAAACATCGGATCTTAATTTTGCTTTGTAGGTATCATTTTACACTAAGCCCAGCATATTTGTTATTTTTCATATTATTACTGAAATAGATAGGGTAAAAGTCAACATACTCTATGTAAAAACATGTATGTTAAAATGTGTGAAATTGTGTACAAACAAAAGAAGTGAAGAGTATGATGTTTGAATGTCTAGATAAGTGGTCTAAAAGTGGTCTAAAAGTGAAACACCAATAACAGCAACTATATATGTCCAAACATACAATATGATATAATATAAAAGATATATTTTTTATTATATTATTAAAACTATTTATAAATAATGAAATTAAAAACTATAAAACAATTTTTAACGTGTTTACAATGTTAAAATGTACTATTTTTTATAAAATATTATTGAAAAAAAAATTGTGAAAATTAAATTCTACTAACTAAATGTGTTAACTTTATTTTACGTTTCAGAATATCGTAAATTGGAATAATGATTTTAAAATTATATTTTCCTAAAATCAATTTAAAATCATCGATTCTTATGTTTGATCGTCAACGAGAAGACTAATAAACATCAATATGCGTAGCTTAGTATGATACTGTGGCCGATTTTTTGCATACTATATGGATTTCAAACAGTGTGTAAGTACGTTATGATTTATTAAATGGTTAAGTTATTTAATCAAATGGAATATGTAATATAGATACATTATTACATATTCACAGTTTACTGCTCCATGCCAAAAATCAGTGGTTCAGATCCATCTAAAAATTATAAATATGTATTAATAATAATTTTTATAATTGAAAATTACATCACTGTACTTAATATAATAATAATAAGTTACACACATACAATCACCTACATATACATTCACCAATACACTGTTGTAAGTTGTGCACCTAATACAACAACGAAAACATTTAAATTATCAAATTTATTTTCCTTCATCACGATGGTACATAATACATATAAAGATTATTATTTTTAATTTGTTCATTTTTGAGATTTTTATTTTCCGTACAACACAATAAGTAAACCTATTCTATTGTGAGAAAAAATATCATTCTATAATTCATAAATTCAAAACAAAGTGTTTGGTTATTTTAATATTTTCCGATGAAAAAATGTCAGAAAAACACATTGTGTCGCGAAACAGTTTATTTTTGATTATGTCAAAAAAATTGTTTGAATACACACAGAATTTTAACATATATTATATAAAACAAATAATCAAATGTGTCAATGGCAGAAATAGTGTCGTGTCTATGAATAAAAATGAAGGGATATTATAACTCACATTAAAATTCAAACAATGTTAAAAAATGTATAATTAAACACACAATGATATACATGACACATAATCGAGTATTTAACTTATTTATTGTGCTTAAAATCAAAAAAACTACACTATTAATATTTACTAATTGTTAACAAGAAGTAGGTACTTCAAGTTACAGCAATAATTCCCAAATTGCACAATTTATGAAAATCATTCAATGAAGCATATGTTTGTACCCGCAGGGTGTGTTTCTGCCAGCCAAGCTCCTGGTGACATCACGGTCATGTTCATAAGTCCAACCACTGTCAAAGTATCTTGGAAAATATCACTAATAGGTATTGAAAAATATGACGTCATGTACAAACCTACCAACGCCAGGTATGACTACCACTGTTTTATATTTAGTACCATTTGAGATAGAATTTACAACATTGTCAAATAATATTAAGTAGAAAATCTAATTCTATCTTAAGTACGCTAGTGCATATTCTCGATAAATTATTTTACTTTACTTTCCAACCAATATTTTTTATTTTTATTACTTAATATAAAGTTTTCCTTATATGCACATCTAAACTTAACATCATTAAGAAACATTTTTTTTTTACATTACCTACCTATTTAAATATAGGTAACGAATTGGTAAGTTAATAAAATACAAAATAAATATAAGTGTTATTAGGCATATTATGGTAATTATTTTCATCTGTATTGTTATTATTATTACATTCTGGCATGGGGGGGGGGGGGTCCTCGTTTGAGCAGACGGAGAGTAAGGTTTGTCGATAGATGTTATTCTTGCACATGTTTTAGTTGGTCGAAAAAGTTGGTTTATAGATTTTTTTATGTAAGTTTTGACTGTAGATAGTTTGAAGTATGTGTGAACGGACGTTTTTAATTATTTCGAGGACAATCTTAATAATTGTGCTTTATATTATAAATTGGCAGACTTAAATGTTGTTTTCATGACCATATCAAACATAGAAAAATAGATAAAAAACTATATATTTAAATTTTAGTTTTAGTTATTTCAATACTTCTAGATTAAACTTAAAATGTATTTTAGTTATCCCTCAATAATGTAATTTTATCTACCTAGATATACATTATATATATGAAGTATTTCTACTAAATCTTTTCTAGGATTGTCTGATAGGATTTAGACAGAGTACCTATTCGACAAAAATTCCCTATGGACTATGTAAAATCGAATAAGATCCCAAAATATAAAATTGGCCATGTGTAAAATAATCTAAAGTGATGATAAAATAAAGAAATAAAATACAGATTTTGTGTTTCATAATAGTATATACATTTTAATCACACACGTCGTTTGGTAGGTAATAACTAATTTTAAAGACAAAATGTAATAGCCTTTTACATTCTGCTAGCGTGTATTTTAAAATATATAATTTCGTACATGATTAAATATATAAAAATAAGTTCTTGACATTGCTTAATTAAAAAAATCTTATATAGGTATAATTTTGAACGGTGTGAGCTTTTATAAAAGAAAATATAATAATTTGGTAGGCAGAAGTTACGGGGAAAATGTAAATGAAAATGATAACGAATACATACATAATAATATAAGAGTATCAAATGAAGTATAACAAGTTCAAGAAGTTTTTTAATGTATTTTTACAGAGTTGAAAAATACAAAGAACGAAAACGTTTATTTCTTCAGTTGACAAGCTGAAATCTGCTTAGTAAAATTAAAATAATGAAAGGAGATAATTAATATTATTATGTGACTGATGCTTTTTTAAAAATTTCAAACAAAAAAACCCTGAACATCCTGAATTTCATTAAATTTGATTTATATCATATTATGTAATTTTCGATAATGTAATGCCGCTTAACATCGTATTAGTGTAACGATGAATAGTCGGTAAAAACACAAATATTATAAAAATGAGTACACCTACATTTCCTTCAAAAAATTTTAATATAACAGACGTAGCAATTAACAAAAAATATTATAATATATTAACAGGAACCAATAAATGTTGTTCCAGAAATTCAAACTGACATAGGTACCGTGCAAGTAGTGTAAGTTGATATTCAATGCCAGATCAGGGGGGAACGGAGAGGCGTGCTGAAATACTTAGCACGAAGCGCCCCTATCTTGTCATTAATTTGGGATGGCGGCAAGGGGAGAAGCGAGAATTATTTAGGTGACAAAAACATTCAATCATGGGCCGAACACGGCCCATTCCGGCCATCGTGACATTTACTATTTGGTGACAAAATAAACGATAGGCGAATGGTAAAATTAATATAACTCTAGTTATTTACCGCACTGCCACAACGTGATAGTAGAATAAAATAATGAAATATTATTTTTCTCCACTAAACAATTATCAATTAATAGTAACGCTCAATGCAAAATTACCCAACAATTAATGCAACAATTACATAAGTAATAGTAACGCTCAACTCAAAATAACAATATTTGCACTCGTCTACGGGAGATTTACTACTGATATCTGTGAGTTGTGATAATAATCATGAGAAATGTCTCAATACGTACCTTAATTTATAAGAGGTTCAAATCATGTATTTCCCCTATTATATAATTACATACTAGAATAGCCCATTGATCGAAATTCAACCACAACAATCGTTTTAATAATGTCAACACACTTTAAATATTGCATTTAACTTATCCCACACACAGTTCTGTTACTTGTTAGGTTATCAGCGTCTGTACTCCTTCCCATTTTATTTGTCTAACCTAGATATGGGAAATACAGGTATTTTGTGTTTTAGTTTTAAAGACTATAATACCATACTATTATAGGAACCTTATTCCATTAGTTGCAGAAAGACGGCAGACAATGGTGCACTTTTGAGTAACAAACAATAAATAACTGTTATTTTCTTTTATTATATAATTTAGATAGGTCACTGATTTTTATGAATAGTATAACCCGACTAGTGTATTATTTTCATATTTTACCTGCCTCAATGTCATCATATATGTGAAAACAAAGGCATTGTGCAAATCTTCTTATTTCAATCTACATTTCGAATGATATATCTATTTTTCTCTTACTATGCATATAACCAGAGTTATTGGTACGACAAAAAGGTGCTTGCGTACTGTTATTTATTATATATACTTAGATGTCATACCATACATGGGCTGCTTCTCAGTTATCGTACTATCGGCCATTCGGCCAGACCACAACCAAACTTTTCTCGACCTATAGAATAAGTAAAACGTATTTACGTCCAATATACATAATATGATATATACTAGGAGTGTCTAAACTTTTTATGATTAACCTCTACTGAGAATATGTTTTATTTTCGAGATCGATAATTAATTTATAGTTTTTATAATAATATTACAAATTTACAACTATAACAAATGTTCATATATTTTTTATTTTTCACGATAATTTTAAAAATTCCTGAAAATGTCTACATTTTTACCACCTAAGAACAAATTAGATCCAATTTTCTACCAATAACCTCCATCGAAGTTGATGATAGATGTAAAAATAAAAAAAATTATATTTTGAAATCACACACTATTGTAAAAATCAATGAATTCTTTGCTCCACACCGGAATCTAAAGTACATCATTAGAGCAACTTTTGATTGTACAAATATGTAATTGTATTTGAATTTTGAATCAAATACGTTACACAAAAAAAGTAAAAACAACGAAGACGCTCAACAAGTAATAATAATATGTAGCATTGTAGCCTGTGGATTAAAATAAATTGAACAAAATATTTACTTTTACACAGTGGAAGTTACTTGTTGTGGGGGAAGGGGAGTTTTCTTTTTTTTGTGCATTATTAAATCCGTTTAGAGGAGGTGGAACATATTAATGAGACATTGTCTAAATAACAAAAATATCGGATAGGGAAACATTATAATACTTCATAATTTTTCAGTTTTCAATTAAATTATACAAAATATTTAAAAATCAACTCAGTTTTAATACTGTATCAGCTATAACCATATTCAAATTAAATAACTATACCCAAGCATTTACGTGGGTACATTATTTTCTGTAATATAATTAGTTATAAAAGAAAAAAGTAAAGGTACTCCGTTTTTCCTTAAAATTAAAAAATCTACAAATTACAATGCTTCACGTCAACGTAATTTTACGAACATGCAACTACCTATATAATTTTATCGAATAACTCCTTCCAACTGCCACCGGGTCACGATACCCATCATATAGTCACGTATATAGCCACATTATATACAGCTAGGCCAGCCAACCACTAGCCGACCATTGCGATTAAATATGTAACGATTTGTGTATTTGAGTGGGTGTTTTTGCCATTGGTCAGTTACAGGGTAGTAGCGGAGATAGCGGTCAACTCCGATTCCGTGACACTCGGTAACTTGATGCCAAATACACAATACCAAGTCACTGTGACAGCGTTCAAAGCAGGTCGCCGGTTTCGTAGCAGACCAGTAATATTCAAAACACTTGGTAAGTTAGACCAAAAAATAATGTTCAATGTTTAGAATAATAATGTTTTAAGTAAATTTAATAATACATAATTACTTAATATAGGTACATACCAAGATAGGTATGTCTCAAAACTTAGGAAATATTTTCGATGAAGAAATGATGCTTTTGAAATTAAAAACTGAAAATACCTATCTTGTTAACACAACTTTAACCACCTATATTATAATATTAAGATTTAATAATTTTATAGATACGTACGAAACCCTTTCATTTACCCATTATTACATACCTGTACCTATTTGCTATGTTTATGTTTTACAACATTTAAAAATGTATAATTATTTAAATGGGTACCTACCGTAGTGAGATACAATGTGTATAGTTCATTTGTATTTTTTATATCAACAAATTAAATAATTTGGTCATCAAATTAACATATTTAGCTTTTTAACTACCAACTATAACATTACATAATAAATTATGAAAACCATATTATCATGTTTTCGTAATAATCACAACTAATTAACTTGGTATGTATAGATACATTATATAAAGTTATTGTTATCAAAAAATTATTTTGTACATGTTATGAAAACATAATGAATTCATTAATTTGAAGAAACTATTTACAATATTATAAAAGCAGATCAACGTTATTTATGTACCACTACATTATCAGAGATTCAGAGAGCTATTGTTTTTTTCAAACAAAATAAATTCATAAAATGCATAATGCTATTTACTCATAACATTCATTTTATTTTTGAAAAAAATCTCAATTTAATTAAAGATTAATGTATAAAATAAATGACAATGCAGATGTTATTTTTATAATACAAATAAAAAAAATATAGCATAAAAAAAAATATTCTTTTTAATTATGTAACTATTCTTATTGTAAAAATAAATAAAGGCCCATTTTTTCCTTTTTTTTAAATCAGCTAAATATTTCTCTATTTTGAAACCAAAAGGTATTTAAAAATGACAGACTGTCCTGTACTTTTTGGCAACTATTTTTTCTGCATTCAATCTATCAATAATACAATTATTCAGTATCAATTATAAAAATATTCAAAACCAAATTTTCAAATTGAAAAGTATGTTTTTTTTATAATTATAATAATTTTAAAATAAAAACAAAAACATATTCATATATATATCCTTCCTCTAGGACCTAAATCTAAATTAACAAATATTTTAACTGTACAAACATATTATTGACTAATTGAAAATTACTATACAGGGTGTTCACCTAGCATATTCACCCTCATTTTTCTTTTAATAATGAATTTATTCAAATTCTGATTTTTGGAATTTTTAAATATACTTAAAGACCATATTTTAAAATTTTTCAATTTTTAGCACTACTTTTAAGGAACGTCCTGTTGTCGTACAAACTTCTGTTTTTAAATAAGACCCCCCCACCCCTCTTTTACTGTAAATTAATTAGTGAATAATTTTTTGAAAATGTTGATGTACCTACTACATTAAAAACACGAACGAGTAGTTTCTTAGTTATTAAAATGTTTATATTAAGGATAATAGTCCTAAAAACTGGTTTTACATAAAAATAAAATAGACGTAAAATTGTATTTATTATACTTGGGCAATTTTTCCAAATTATTAATATCGAAAGATTAATATTAATGACTACAATTTCCAAATCGCCATTACCCCCCCCCCCCTTTCCCCATCTCGTATAAACTCATTACTATTGACTTTTTATCCTCAGAACTCAAAGTTAAGTAACTCATAAACTATTAGTATGAATTTTGATTTTGATACGTCTGAAATCTCAGAAATATATCTACTATACAATTTATAGTTGCATAGGGTGATACCATATAGTTAAACGTACATTTGTTTGTAAATATATAGATATATTACATAAGAAATATCAAAATAAGCAATAATATTTTATGTAACTACTTTTTCTGTTAAGTATATTAATACATATTACCATTATACATACTGTTTACAAATTGATTATTTTAAAACAGAACTGTCATTAAATTTATCAAGACCTATTTACCTTTAAAATTATGAAAAGTATTATTTTATTAAAAATTTAAAAATAAGTGCCAAATTTTCAAATTTAAAGAGAGTTGTCTTAGAATACTTGCCAAAAAGAGTTGTCTATACACTTATCATCCATAAAATATAATATTTTTTGTTAAATATTGTTTAACAAATGTTAAAAATTAATATCATTTAATTCAATATATTTTTTTAGATAAAGGTGTGTCGTGGCCAGATATTCAACATTCACAGATGAATACTAGTGGTGATGTTGATATATCACCACCGGATGTTGTAGGTGGTGTTGGACATTCAGTACCACCAGAAGGTTCTACTTCTCCTCCTTATGTACAGGTAATAAACTAATTTAACCTTTATTGTATTGAGAAGTTTATGCGAGTATGAAAATTATAAAAACATATATCTATATGACTACATCATATTTACAAGTACAACAAATCATTCATTTTTTAAATATAATTGAAATAATAATTAATTAGTAAATTCTACAAAGTATACATAAGTAAAAATAACATTTACTGAAAATACTTATGTAAGACTTTACTAGATATTTAGTCATTTTTTTCTATATGGAGAATAGATTAACTTCATGATAGTTCAAAAACATTGTGAGTGAAATAACATTTTCAAAGTATCAATTTAATTGGTAAATAAACGTACACATGTACATAACTATTATATCCTGAGGTCGGAAGTTAACATATTTTGTTCTTGGTAAATCTTAAACATCCTGAGTAAAATACAAATTTGTTTCACAATTCTGAATTCACTGATGACATATCGAATTTGTTCACTAATTTATAGATATATTTACTGTTTTAAGAGCAAGTAGGCTTATTTGAAAATTTTAAGAACTATTTTAGATTCCAGATGCTTATACACAGCCCAAAATGAAAACATATGCAAAATGTAAATGCTTTGTCAAACGAAAATTAACCTTCAAAAATCATCTCCATATCATACTATGTTGTCACAATTCATTTCAAATTTTAATTCAACTATCAGTCCACCAATTTCCCTTATTTCCTCCGTTCTAAATTCGTTTATTGCTAAAGGTGCTATTATTTTTCCTAGTCTATTCATGATCAATGTATGTAACACTTATAATTATCTTCACTATCGGCTTTATTCTACAATTCATGAGCAATTCGAGTAATTTTGTAGGTTTATTTTCAGTGACCCATCACATTTTACTGAATTTGTAGTTTAAATATCAATATGTAGGTATGTACTGCCTACAGGCTATAATCTCTTAATAAATATAAATTAGTAAAAATATATAATATGTAATTTAATTTTGCATATTATTATATTACAATTAAAGTGCTATTTATACCTAAAATTTTTAATATTTAATATTAAAGCTCTAAAAAGTATATGTTTAGTGCTATAACTTCCAAGCAATTCGTATACCTAACTATAGCCATAAACCCACGGCACAATCAACAAATTTAACGTTTGTTCTATACAAGTAATTCGGAATTATTTATAATAAAAATAAACTTATTAAATAGTTAATAAATATACTACCATCGTTAATAAATAAAAATGAAATGTAATATGTTCCTGTTCATACAACATGTTTTCCAAAAATATTACGAAATTTCGTTTTCCTAAATTATTAGAATTGTTGAGCTTAAGCACAAACTCTGTTAAATCAATATCACTAAATAAATATGTACACCTAAACATATAAATATGTAGTTCTTTAATCATTATATAATATATATTTATTAGTACAGAGAACAGAGAAGTTATCCTAAGCAAATGATATTCTTTGATACAAGTTGTGTCTACAACTGAAATAAACACGTATGACTTTAAAATCACCCAGCAAGATTGACAGTAGTTTTTTAGTAGGTTTTTTGTGACTAGCGTCTCTTGGTTATTTCCATCCCATGGGGGGTCAGCTTTCTCTTTAAACCAAAAGTGTTAAATTTTTTTAATGCCAATGAATATTGGTTGTAAAGTAGTTATAATCACACGATGTTATAAATAGTCTATTTGGGTACCTGCAATACCACCATCGTGAACCAATTCTGTCGGTATTTTATGAGTATGATTATTAATTAGTGCACATACACTAAACATAATTTAAGTAGATATACAAGTAAATATAAATAAGATGAAATTAAAATAAACCATATTATCAGGACTATATAACTGCCGAATGCAGTCTTAGATAACTGTGAGAATCAATAGTTTTTATTATTCATGGAAAAATTTTAATTCTATTTAAAATGTTCAAACAAACAATGATAAATACAAGAGTTGTAAGAAAATATACGCAGCACCAAACCATAAATCACATGAATTATGTAAATACTTGAGTGGTCTTTATATTTTCAAATTAATTTCAATAAGGTTTCTTATCATTTATTCAAAAATAAATTAACTTTACTAAAACGTATCTTACGTAGATAAACTAACCCGTCATTAGTGGTTTGGTGTAAAATACAAATAATATTAAGTAAAGACCATAGACAATATCAAAGTAAGAATAAATATAATATTCACAATAATTTGTTTAAGTGGATGTTAAAATATTACTACTCTATAAGTTATAACTATTTATGTTTATTTAGGTGCGAGGAATCGAAATTACTATTGTAGTGCTGGTCTTAATGGTCTGGGTCGGCGCTATAATAATGTTTTTCAACCGCTGGGGTAAAATTAGGATGCTTATACCATATCAACCAGACTATAAAGACACACAACTCAAAGTACCCGGAACAGGTGCATGTAATACAACCAACTCGTGCCAAAACCCAACAGGACCAAGTTTTTGTTGTTCGCAGGTCAGTGTTGTATTTTCTGTTTTAAAAAACTTAATGCTCATTTAAATTGTGTGATGCACGTGAAAATGTGATTTTTGAATATTCTTTTCTTCTATTTACTATCGATTATTTATATTTTTTTCATTTTTTAATTTATCAGCCTAAATACAGCTACCCGAAATGTACTAGAAGTCGGGTGTCAACTTATAATGTAGTATGAAACGTAGCTTATAATGCATATTTTGTTGGATACCATTAGTCACCAGAGAGACCAGGGATCACGATATTCTTTAAGTAACTAACCGTATTATGTGAAAAGCAAAATAAAAATTCCAACATGCAACAACCCTTCGACCTCACCTCGTCTGTAATGGTTAATGGAGTGATATTGTCATATGTTGGATAGTCTTCAAAATAAAAGATACTCAAAAAAATGGAAAATTATTAAGTAACCAAACTATTCAATGAATTCTATTAAAAAAAAAAATAATGCTCTGAATTCTCAACTTACTGACTGGATATTAAAATAACAATATTTTGTATGTTATAATATTATGGTTGACAATTTTTGTCATCTAATCCTAATTTTACCTAAATATACAAAAAGATTGTATATCTTTCAAACAATTTATATAAAATATTAAATTGTTACCTAAGGTCAAAAAAAATATAAAAAGTTTTTAGCAGCTCGAAGAAAAAGAAAGTTTAATGTATAATTATGTGTGAAATTATTTTAAACTATGTAATACTACTGATTATACATAGCATATGTATAATCAATGATAATACCTACTATTACCTATTACTTATTTAATATTCAATAAATTCCTAACTACGATGTAATTTTTTTTAAATCAATAAACCTTGACTATTTGAGAAATATTATGAATTCCACTTAACAAAAACCATAATTATTGAGTAATAATAAGTCGAACGTCAATTTTCCAACTAATTAAATACACTAAACAAATCATTAGATGTTATGTCTTACCAACTAGAAAGGATGAAGTAAGTATATTTCAATTTAAGTTATAAATTAACTACAATATCTCGGAAATTTATCAATGATTTTATTAAATGCCTACTCATTTAGTCGTGTGTTACAATAACATACAATAACAGAAAATTTCAGGATCTTAAAAGTTAAAATCGTAATTTTATTTTTAATTTAATAATACATAATACTATTATACTTAGGCAAGTAAAATTTAAAAAGCAACAATACTGCATAATTAACACATAATAATCGTACACTTTACTTTACACTTTACTATTATGTTTTTCATAAAGTAATATTTTATAACTAATAGCTTCCTTGGATACCCAAAAATATAAAATATCTACTTTGAATTAGGTATGAATTTCAAGGGTTTAAATTAAATAAATTATTCAGTTCCAAACAACTAAAAAATTTATTTTACCAAATGTTCCTTGACTTAAATTATCTTTATTGTCGAGGTGAACAAATTTGACCAGACTTACTACTGGGTATTTTCACTGATATTATCCTTGTCCCTTGTTAGTGTCATAACCAGCTTTGGATATTAAGGTACACACGATGTTGTTGTAAATATAGCTTATGTTCAATAGTGTACATAAGCTAAGATCGATAAAATTTCATAATAACAACCTTGGCACTTTTGATGACAGTGAAATGTGAAAATGTAATGTATAAGACTCACGTGTCATAGAAGTATTGTAGGGACAAGGGTTGACATCGTTTCGAAAAATGGGTGAACAAATAGTATTAGAAGTGTCCGATACCCTCTTAGAAAAAAAACATCAAAACCAAAAGTAAAATTGATATTAATAATATTTTACTCAAATTATTGTTGTATGATAAATAAATATACATATAAAAATGAATGTCTGCCTGTCTTTTATACCTGTCTCAACGGCTGAACCGATTTCGATGATATTTTTTTGTGTGTTTGAGCGGTTCCCTGGATGATTTAGATTTATAATTGGACCTGGTAGGTCCAACCCGAGGAGGTCATCAAACATGTTTGTTTATAAATAGCTGTTATTGGCTATAGGAGAATTATAAATATAATTAGTAGCAAATAAGTATTTTTGTTTTTTATTAGTTGCCGTTGGTTAATCAGAGAGATCAGGTATAAGCATGCATCAAATTAAATTTTCTCACATTGCCTCCCAAGGTGTCTGAGTTTTACTTATAGCCACTCATCGGCATTTTCCCGAAAATTCCAACTCTATATGAGACTCTCTTGTAATAATGCGAGCAGTATATTATCAGGTAGGCAATCAAATTGTGTTGGATTGCGGACCCCACTTGATGGGTACTCTATATGAATAATTTGTTTGTTTTATTTATTTATTTTTATTTTTACACGCCGATGAGCGGTTAAGTACAACTCAGTCACCATGCCCCTTGGTAGGCAATGTGTGATAATTTTATTTGATGCATGCCTATACCTGATCTGACCAATTAACCAACGGCAACCAATAAACAAGAAAATACCAATTTCTACTAAATATATTTATAATAATTATCTTATAACCAATAGCAACCATTTATAAACACAAATTTCCTTCGTTAATCTCAAAATCCGCGTTTGAGCACCTCCCTGGGTTGCACCCACCGGATCAAATTATGAATCTAAGTCTTCCAGAGAACCGATCAAACACACAGAAAAAATTACATCAAAATCGGTCCGGCTGTTTAGACGGGCATAAAGGACAGACAAACACACATTTATTTTTTAAATAATATAGTTATAGATAATTTCAATAAGCAAATAAAATCGATAATTTATATCAAATACCTACCTAGGTATAGCCGCTGTGTTAGTCCGTCCCAACTTTCGTTTCCGTGGTTACAATTGTTAGCTTTAAATAATTATTATTCTACTATAGATAAAATACACAAATGATTTAATTGAAACTAAATCAATTAAATGCATTTATATTGTCTACTATATAATGTGTTATATAATATGTTTTCTTTTGATGTACCCAATAAGGCTATAACTATTCGTAGAAGATATTAGAGAAACGTTAATTATTTGGACATAACGAATTTCATTAAACAATAAAACATAATTAATTAATGATTATATTTCGTTGAATACTCACATAAACCAGGAAATTAGAACGTTAGTAATAATTTAGATTTTTCTTAACGTCTATTTTAAATTATGCATTTATATTGTCATCCTAAAGTATATTTTTAACTTATTTATTTGTTTTAACAATTTATTTAATAAAAACCGATACATTATTTTAATGACAAAATCATTATGCGTTAGACTGTTCATTTCCCGAAAACAAAATTCATTATAACATAACTATAAACATTCTCGTTGTAAAATTAAATCATATTTATAACTTTACTAGACATAACTAATTTTGTCTAGACATATGTATTTCTGATGGAAATTTATTGTTTCGATTCAATAACTAATCAACTAATTTACATTCATATAAGTAATTAGATATTACATTTTCAGCTGTAAAAAGATTCTGAGAAATTCAATAACAAATTCTTCGAAACCAGTTATTTGACGGGGACAAACTTGGAAGTAGTCTTTGTACAATATTTGCACATTGTATGCAATAAGTTCTTATTTCAAATTTTTAAATACAGATGATGTAATGAATTTGTGTGTAGGTATTATATAAAAAGTATATATAACACTTCAATATTAATGTATTATTAAGCTTATCGTCTTATGAAAAGTTTGAAAATATTATTTACAAAGTATACCAATTATTTTCATCAGTCATCACTAAACTCTGTAATTAAACTTTATGATCGTTTTACTATTTTTTTAAATATTTTCTTCAAATACGATAAGTCATGATTTTCTAACTTTTCGTAAATTTTACAGTCCCTAATCATAACTGTTATTGTTAAAAATTATAATGCAAGTGAATTTTAATACCTACTGCGATAATATTCATTGTGTACATATGTGTACTGCAGTGGAACAAATAATAAATGGCTAAGCCCCCTTCAGCCACCAGGACAGAAATACTAATACTTCTAAAATTATGTATATTTAATTTAAAAAAAAAAATTCTGATGGTTTGATCCCCATGAAAATTGTTCCTTTAGAGTGTAACTGAAATAGCTAACAATTATAATTGACTACCTATATTTGTAATAAATTTTGTTTTTATCTACACAATATTTTCTTAATATTTAATTAACTATAATAATAATCATACAATATCTGAATTAAAACGGTTATTAAAAATATTAATAATAATAAAAGCTATTACTTAGTTACATTTGTTAGATTTTTCTGTTAAACCCTGTACTTATATATCTTTCTTTATATAAATATATATGTATAAAAGTGCCTTTTTTATGTCCGGGATAATCTCGGAAACTACAGAACAAAATGCAATGGGGTTTTTTCAGTTTAAATACCACACAACAGAGCAGGTTATAAGCATAGTTTTATGGACTAAAATTCTGTCCACGGAATATTGAGCGATAAAATGGAAAATCACCAGTTGCGCCATCT